TACATCAGAATGCAACTTCAAAATGTTTTTAATACTAGCCTAAATATGGGACTGTCCTCTCATACAGAGAGTGAGTGTTGCATCATATCCTTCTAGGTTTGTGTTTCACTGAAGAAATAAACATCATAAGAGTTTAGATCAACGCGAGGGTGAGTACAAATAATGACTACATTTTTATTTGTGGGTGAACTATCCCTTTAAATTTAACATTTATAATTTGCCTGCACCTGCTGTTGTTTCTAAACACAAACAGTATGATTTACTTCAGTCAATTTGCAGGGAATTATGTCTTTCTTCCTCGTTCTTTCTCACTGGGAGTTTTTTTTTTAAGTATGCAAAATATGCTACACTTTTTTGAAGAAGAAGAAGGAGAAGAAAATATCCGGGTACGTTTATTTAAGCTATTTTGAGCACCTTGTATCTATTTGTTAGTTTATGCTCGTTCGTACTGAGAAAGTAAGAAAGAAAGAAAGAAAGACCTTATAAATTTTGCAGTTCTGATTCTGGCCAGAGAGAGTATAAAGTAACAACTGTGTTGTTCTTGTTCTTGTTAATCTCTCCTATGCTGAATATGGGGCTACAGTCGCTGGTTTACATCAATGAAATATAGAAGAGGGCGACACCATGTGGATCTTCTAAGTATTTCATCTTTTTTCTTTCACTATAAAACACAAACCCTAAATTACTTCACTACAACTATAAACTCTGCCATAACGAATGCCTAACCAACCCCACAACTAGACCTGTCCTTAATAAGATCTGCACCCTACCCTCCGCCTCCGGTCTGAGACCGCTGGCCTGCCGCTGCTGTGCTGTCCTGAAGCCGCTGTGACGGACAGTATGGCCGCTGCGGATTGTGTGTTATTTTGACAGATTATCTTTCAAGGTTTGTTTGAGACGTTATTCTGCATTCAATGCTTCCTCTTAGATGACATCAGTAAGGTTATTTCCCAGAGCTGAAGCACCACACCTTTTTTATCCAAACACAGAAAATGTCTCTGCTATTTCAGTCTATGCACGTTGTGAATCACATGGTAAATCTAGTTAATCATTTAGCTAAAAATTAAAGCATGTGCTCTACATCTAATGTGCATTTATTTTACAGATAGTGTTCTGAAACTCATCGTGTGTGTGGTGTGTATTCTATAATTCTATAATAGTTACAGTATATATATATATATATATATATACTGTACATATTGTTATTATTGTTGTTTTGTTGCTCCTTTTTTTTTACATCCAATTACATTAATTTTCAGGTATGTATCAAAGCAGCATTACAGAAAGTGCATATTTCTACATTACAATTGTATAACATCATAATGATTCTTTTATTTGTGAACTTATTTGTGTGTGTGTGTGTGTGTGTGAATAGTAATACAAATAATATTTATTTTGTTAAATTTAATTGCATTAAGTTTGAGGTATAAGAACATCAATTAAATACAAAAGGCAGGTTTTCTCTTTACATAGAAAATTAATTTTAATGCAGTTAATTAAAAAAGCAAACAGTGTAACAGTATAATATAACACGCATATAAAATATGCAGAGTAAATAGGCAAATTCCATAAAGAAATAGATCCTCCTTCATAAAGAATTATTCTTGTAGTAACATCTGTTTAACCACAGAAGTTGTAAAATTAGACTTTTGAATGTTTTCTGCTGATAACTTGCACTTCCTTCCTAAAAAACAGAAAAGCGATAACAGAAATCATTAGCTTTAATTTCAATACTGTTCAGTTAATGTTCATTTGTTTTATTTCTTCACAGCAATCACACATCTGCAAGCTTACCTCAGCTTACGGATACTGGCCATCACCCAGGTTTTGGAGGGGTCTGTGCAAATGTTCCTGCCTTCTTTTGTGTGGAATCTGAGAGGTAAAGCAGCATCTTTTGGTTAGGTTTTTCTCTAGGAATCAGTTATAATGCATATAGTCAGTCAATGCAAAATGCACCATATGTAGAAAGCATCTTATACTTACATGACAGCATCAATGTGGCAGTTTCTCGTCATGGTCTGAATGGAATATCCTTTGATAATTGCCATTGGTATCTGTCCTTTGGTATACTTCCTACAACATGCTGTAAACACAACAAGAATAGTTTAGATTGTGTTACATTATTTAATCACTATAAAAATATCTTCACATCATGAACCTCAGATTTTAAAAACATTTAACAGTGTCTCTGAGAAACAAAACAGTTTTCCCAATGAAAGTGTAAAACCTAGAAATTCATCTGCGACTGCAAATAGCTTTATTATCAGTCCAGTTATATAAAGAAATGTACTTACACAAAGCAGAAGCATCTGTACAGAGTACACTGAGAGCTGCAACCAACAGCACGATCACTGAAGCTGAAATGCGAGTCATCGTCTCTGTCAGTGTGTGTGTGTGAGATCCTCAGAGCAAGAGTCAGATGAGAAATGTGGCAGGTGTGAGAGTGAGTCTATAGTATTTAAAGAGAGTTGGACATGGAAACACCCAAGACAGGGTTTTCCGTGCATACGTAAACAGAAGTACATGTGCACAAAAAAAACAATGAGATATTATCTGCCCTGTCAGTCAAACAGGTGCAACAAGGAAGAACACAGAGGAAATATCAGCCAGAGGGAAAGCACAGAGCACAGACTTGTAATGTTTACTCCCCTGAAAGAGAGAGTGAACCATCAACATATTTGAAATGTTTCCTACTGGCAAATTAATAGAAACAATGCTGGAAACTCCAGGAGGCCTCAAGTACAACTTGAAGGTCACTAGAACAAAGAAAAAATTCAGGACTGAAAATTTGCCAAAGTATGCTGTGACATAGCTTTATATTATGTAATATTAAATTACATCAATGAAAATGCCAAAGGGTGTGTGACATAGTTTACTACTTCTGATACTTTGACTCTGCTGTCATTACTTGTGTGTATACAAAACTGTTCTTAAAAAGAAATAAACTCATTTTCATCTAGGATGGCTTGAAAGGGAGCACATTTTCAGCAATTTTTTCATTTTTGGGTGATCTATTCCTTTAAAATTACTGTTGCATAGAAAACTTTCACTATTTAAAGTGTCATTGACCAATATTTGAATTTGTTCTCCAAGTCACTGCCACACATGGAATATTTTACATACTGTAAAACCGCTTGGAATGACCAGTTCAGATAATGATTGATAAAGAGCGACAGTGCATTTGACATGGAACATTTGAAACCAGGAAGTGGGAATGTCCACCAGGACAGGACTCAAACCTTAACCTTTTTTATAATGAATGCATTATTATGTTTTATGATTATATAACATCTTTAATAGATAAAACCACATACACATGCACACAAATGGATTATTCTGAACTACCCACATGCTCAGCAGCGTCCTCATTTCCACATGCTAACATGTGGTTTCTTGTGGGGGTGTAGAATTACATATATTTTCTAGGTCATAATTTTTTATGTAACTCATGTCCTAAAATCAAAGGGTGAAATAGGTCATAAGAGTGAGAAGAAAGTCTTACAGTGGCTCCTCTAGCAATGAATCACTTCCCTTCTCAATCCCACAGCCTTCCATTTAGTCTTTCTGCGTGACTTTAGACACCGGTTTTAATGTCGCTTAAAAGCATTGCTCTCTGTGTTGGTTTTACTAAAACATTTTCACATTCTTTCATTTACACCTCCAGGTATAGAGAGGTGTCATGACATTTCGAGTTTAATTTCTACGAAATACACTTATGATCTTTTAAAATGGAAGTGTCTGGATTAGAATTAGAGTAAGGTTTAAGTCATATCAGGTCAAATATAATATTGTTTTTTTTCCCATCAAAGGCTGCGATCTGATCTGAAGCTGTGATAAGAGAATCTTGATGAGTGTTCGATTTCCAGGAAAGGCGGATGCCTTTGTCTGTTGGATGTTAGTCTAAATGTTTGACTAGATGTTTATGTTATTTCAATTATTTTGTCTTGAAAGTAATGCATAGAGATTATATTTAACTCAAGTAACTCATCTGCTATCACAGGCATCACTATTATCCACAGATTCCATATCTTGGAAAAAATGCAAAAGTGCTCACTTCAAACGGAAAATAGTTTATGAAAAACTGATGAGTCTTAGCTGTGCTCACTGTTTAATGTTTAATGAACATTTGCATTACTTTGTCTAGAATAAAATGGGAAACGAGTTCAGACACTGCAGATGAGATGAAGTCCCACGCAATACAAACCTTCACGTTAAAGCTGCTCAGCAAAGATCTGCTCTTTTATAGACATCACTTGTATTTGTTTATATTTTAAAGTGTTGCGTTTTAGCAGGCCTAATACCAAATATAAATGCTAATAATTTAAATAATTAGAATTAAATAAAAAATACATTTTTTCTACATTGTTCTACCTAATTTCCATTATATATATATATATATATATATATATATATATATATATATATTCAAGCAAGTATATATATTTTTTAAGTCACAATGAACATTTTAATGATTTTTTTCATTACTTCAAGATACCATTGGTTACATTAAACATATAAGTTACCAAGGAGATTCAAAGACATTATTTTTTAAATTTATGTATGCATTTAGCAGGTGCATTTGTCCAAAGCGACTTAAAATAGAGGAACAATTTTTCAATACTCGTGTTATACTGTATTCATACTGTACATTTTTAACGTAAAATCTTCATGTTGAGGAAACACGTCCATCTACATGTTTACCCAGGTACACTTTTTAACCTTATCTAACTTTTTAATTATTATTTTTAAGAACTACATGTAATCTATTCTTAAAATAGTATTTCCATTTTTCACTTTTTTTGTGTTGTTTTGTTTTGTTTTGCATTCCTTATGTTTTTGAATGATATTTACCAGCACTAATAATGTTTTGTGTCTAAACCAGTAATTTCAGTGATTACACACTTACAATTACACACTAATTACAAAATGTGACAGATTTAGCTGACCTACTAATATTTAACTCAAGACACCTTGATTTCCCCCCAGTCTTCCACCACTCAGTGACGCTGCTGTGTGGTCCACAAATTCCCCTCACGAACAGCTATATAATGTAGCTTTTGGGGATGCCAGATAACGTAGACTATAAGAGCTCTACATCTTCATCATCACCATCATCAACACTTCTACTGCTGTCCGCACAGCTGTCATCAACTTGTTGAATACTTTTGATCAATCTCATTTTTCTTTTTCACCTGTAAGTGTCTTGTTTCCCTCCCATGATGAGCAGACTCGTCCTGACGTCATCTGCGCTGCTGCTGTTGCTGTGTGTCTGGGTCAGCCTGAGTCAAAGCAGTAAGTAAAACTGACTTTTCTCAGACAATCTCTTTGGTTTCAAGTGTTTCTCAGTGCTTTGAATTACCAAGGCTGCTCTTGACATGTGACCACGTGCATTTTTATATATTTAGAATTGGGACGATCACATTCGTCATATAGCTGAGATGCTGCCATGCTTAATAATCAGGGATTTTGCAGTTGATTTGATGACTTAACTGAGTGATATGATGGGTTTATGTCTTAACTGTTCATCTAACAAATCCGACATCTTATTTGAGCATTACTTGACATGATATGGTTTTGACTTCTGTAATAGTACTAATAATCTGAATTTGCTAAAACTCAATAGACAATAACCAGGTTTATGTATTTATCATCAATAAATGCCATTTCTTTCATATACAAATTTTAACTAATTTAATATTGCTTATTCCACACCTAGCCATATTTTAACCATGTTCATACTTAATTGAATACATTTAATTGCTTTTACAATTAACAGATTTATACTGATTCTAAACTATTTCAATAAATGAATTTTGAAAATATGATTTTTAAATAAAATTAAACCAGTGCTAATAGTTAATAATATAACTATGGTATGTTTTTTTTTGAGTGCATCTTAGCTATTTCTTGCTAATTCTGACATTATGACAATATGCATCACATTATGTTTATTATTGCTTGTTTATGATATTAAGGCCTAAAATGTTTTAAACCTATAAATTGCTTTTTTTTTTATTTTTATTTTTTATTGAAGCATAATTATTTAGCTCTGAAACTCAAAATGATCATTTTTGGACAATTGTTTTTCATATGACTCCAAGACGCCATTGGTTAAATTTCACATATGAGTTACCAAGGAGATTCAAAGACATTGTTTTATAACAAATTTTATATTTACATTTATGCATTTAGCAGGTGCTTCTGTCCAAAGTGACTTAAAATAGAAGAACAATTTTTCAACAATATTCATAGTATACAATGGCAAGTTTATTACCAGGAAAATGAGCAGATGAATAAATCTTTGAATAAAGCTATGAGTCAGGACAGTTGGTCAAGTGTCATGGAACTACACGAACTGAGGATTTGTCACGTGTTAAGGTCCGGTGAGGTGCTGTACCAAGTATTCATCACAGCCTTTTCCTGTCCTCCGACTGAAAGACTTCACCTGGCAGGACGCCACCATGACCTGCAACATAGAGGCTGTCATGTGAGGAACAACACGGGTTTTGTCTTAAATAGATTACAATTAGTAATATCTGCAGTATTTAATCTAGAACATTCTCTCTCCTGTAGTTTTACTTCGGTGAAGAACAGACAGATCTGTGCCAACCCTGATGATCTATGGGTTCAGAACGCCATCTTGCATATTCAGTGAGTTCAGCATTACATGCACTTACATTTATGTGTTAAAGCAGTGTAGCTATACACTGAATGGCAGTGAGCAGAAAACTTAACCTTGGTAATGAATATTACTGATGTAATTGCAAATGTACAGTAGCGCTGACCAGTTTAAGGTTTTGTTATGTGCAAACATAATTATTTTTTTTAAATCTTGTCTCCTTATAATGAATATACTGGTAAATATGAATGTTCTGAAGGTAAAACTTGAGAAGCCTCTCATAACAGTTCTATTTTGTATCTTACAGGGGAAAAAAAGGAAGGTCAACATAACGTGGACATCATCAATTTTTTCTAAAACTGCCTAAATCAACAGTAATATAAAACATATTGATTAGAATTTATCTTTATAATTAGTAAATTAATAAATGGTTTTGACAGCAACAATGTGTCATTTTGTTTTGTCTGCTATATTGTTTTAATAAGTTTTGCATTTCTTATAAGGTTTACTTAGTATTTTCCTAATACTTAATGCTGGCAATAGGCTGCTCTGCAACAGTTTAAAACAAATTTTCAGCAGTACACCTGGGCAAGACAGAAATATTTTACCTCCTTTGGCAGAAGTGACAATAATTCCTTTAGTTGGAGTTATATAGCCTAAAGGTTTGTGAGGACACACAGTAGGCAGTAGGTGGCAGTATGTGCCCACTTGCCAGTTGACCAAACAACAGCCCCAAAATACACATATAACCTTAAATGTTTATTTTTTTAATGATTGACTATTTATTTAGTGCTTGCAAAAGCATCAGTGTGTTGTCATGAGCTGAGCTGTTATGTCTAATGAACTTTAGCATGTGCCATCCACCAGTCATGCAAAAAATAAATAAATAAATACAAAAATTCTGTAATTCAGACAGACAGTCATTGTGATTACAATAATTGAACATTGTTGAGTTTCCTGGTACTTAACTAGAAAGTCACATCATTTGTAGAATTATTACAGCAACTACAACAACAAAAAATCAATAGAATAGGCTACTTAACTTAAAGGATGCAGCTACACTGAAAAAAAAAAAAACTAATGTAGAAACAATTTTCATTCAGAAATATTGTAAATTTCAATCATTTGTAGAATTATTACAGCAACTACAACAACAAAAAATCAATAGAATAGGCTACTTAACTTAAAGGATGCAGCTACACTGAAAAAAAAAAACTAATGTAGAAACAATTTTCATTCAGAAATATTGTAAATTTCATAATTAATTAATTAATTTTATTGAAGTTAATAAAGCTGAGCACTACCTTCAGAGCTTTACTACCTTCAGAGCTACAGACTTGAAAAAGCCTGAAACTGGCTTAGGCTATAACAGAATTTGGGATTGAACATGAGGATTGATGATGAACTTTTTACCCTGAACTTGGGGCATTCGTGATTGATGAGAATTGCTAAAGTCATCATGTTTGCAAATAGCCATAACCTTTAATGTCATTTCCTCTGTTTTATTGCATTATTATTGTGGATTGTGAAACAGTGAATCTAGCAAAGGTTCTGCAACAGTAGTTATTGTTTTTAATGTCAAAAAGGGCACATGGGACATCAGCTTAGTTAAAACGGAATACAGGTCTTTAGCTTCTACTCTGTCCTTCCCCCAGATGTTAAATAGCTGTCATGGGTGAGACAACCTGCAGGATGACAGGTCCAGACTGGTGATCTGTTGTCAGCAGTTTCATTTAAAAAAAAAAGGATATCCAACATCCTTGTTTTTATGAAAGAGGAACTAGTGTTCCTCTTTCATAAAAACAATGAGCATGTAAAACTACACTTCTCTGAATGATTTGAAAGGCATTTGTCCTGTCACCAGCTCCTTATCCCTTAATGAACCCAACAGGGTAAATAAGGACCCCGGGCATGATGTGATTATTCAGAGGCTGTGATGCTGTGAAGATCTCACACTATACACACAGTATGAGAATAGTCTCCCATGTCAAGAGTCAGAAAGGCATTTCACACTTGAAATAGTTAACCATGGGTTATTCTAAACCCTGGTTAAACAGAATCCTGGGTTATCTTGCTTCACGTTTCATTATTAGGAGCCACATCATTCCTAGAGAAATAACAGAGAGAAACATTTTGGGGGGAAAAAAGCTTGACCACATCTTTAAAAAAAAAAGGGGGAAAATATAGATAATACTGTATATATACCTGCAGCAAGGCTGGATTCCTCTGACATCACAAACCCATTTGTGCATTGCACGGATTCCTTGCCAAGGTGACCAGTGCATAAGCTCACTCTAAATAAATATTATTTCAGAATGAATCAGAATCAGAATGAGCTTTATTGCCAGGTATGTTTACACATACGAGGAATTTGTTTTCGTGACAGAAGCTTCCACAGTGTACAGAATAACACAAGACAGGACAAACTAACAAAAACATAAAAACAACTGCGGAGCACGCCACGGAGGCAGCCATCAGCGTTGGCGCCATCTTAATGAAATATCTTAATATTTTGGATTATTACCACAATAAATATTTTACACACACACACACACACCCTCCAGGAGCAGGATTGGACACCCTGACTTAAAGGGTTAGTTCACCCCAAAATGAAAATTCTGTCATATTTTTGATAGAATCTGAGTGCTCTCTGACCCTCCCAAAGACAGCAATGCAACTGTAATGTTCCCAGGTCCAGAAACATAGTAAGGACATCGGTAAAAGAGTCCATGTAACCTCAGTGGCTTAACTTCAATTTTGCGAAGCTACGAGAATACTTTTTGTGCGCAAAGAAAACAAAAATAATGACTTTATTCAACAATTCTTCTCCCCCGAGTTACTGTCTTCCGCCATTTTGGAGAGTATCACAATGCATACGCATGCTTTACCCTAAGCGTAAACAACGCTGATTATGCCGTTTATGTTCATGCGCCTGCTTTTCTCCTCAAACATAAATAACGCTGATTACGACGATTACGTTCATGCGCGCGCTTTCCCACTCGAACGTAAACAACACTGATTATGTTCTTGGGTACTCTCCAAAATGGCGGATGTCGTAACTCGGGGGAGAAGAATTGTTAAAGGCACAATATGTATGATTTTTTTAATTAAAATATCCAAAAAATACTAGAATTATATATTTTGCTGACTTGTGTACTTACATTATCCCAAATGTTTCGAAGAATGTGTAAATCCAGAGAAATAAGCAATTTTAACTTGTGACACGGACCGTGTCCACAGTGTCATTGTGTCGCCTGCCAATGATGTCATAACCCCTCGATTTCCGGTTTTGTTTTGTAGAAAACATGGAAACACCAAAGACGCTTTAAACCGGAAGCAGCGGAAGCGGTCGACTGTGGCATAATAAAAGCTCCGCTGCTTTCGAGCCGTGTGTCACGCTCGTTCAGTGGCCTCGTTTCGCTTCGCTTGCTTTGAGCCTCACCCTGCTTCATTCTACTACGTTAATAAATCATTAGCTCATCCATGAACATGATTTCTGCCCGAGTCCTGTTGGATTGCATCAGCTGTGGGGATGAAGACGACAACTCCCATGATTCAACACTTTGTTTGTTTTGAATACGCACCCTCTAGCGGCAAAAAATTACATATTGTGCCTTTAAATAAATTGTTATTTTTGTTTTCTTTACCCACAAAAAGTATTCTCGTAGCTGGATTTGAGCCACTGATGTCACATGGACTGTTTTATCGATGTCTTTACTACGTTTCTGGACCTGGGAACATTACAGTTGCGTTGCTGTCTATGGGAGGGTCAGAGAGCTCTCAGATTCCATCAAAAATATCTTAATTTGTGTTCCGAAGATGAAAGAAGGTCTTACGGGTTTGGAACGACATGAGGGTGAGTAATTAATGACAGAATTTTCATTTTGGGGTGAACTATCCCTTTAATTAAATGCATCTGAATGAACAAATCAAAGCATTTTAGTTCACATGGAAATTACTACGTGTCCAGTTGAAACACAATTAGGTTTAATGGTAGTCGTGGCCTAATTGTTAGAGAGTCAGGCTTGAAGCCTGAAGGTCACGGGTTTGAGTCTCAGCACCGGCAGGAAATGTAGGTTGGGTGAGTGAATGACCAGCACTTTCTTCCACCCGCATTACCCACAACAGAGGTGCCCTTGAGCAAGACACTGAACCCACAACTGCTCCCTGGGCAGCAAAAAGTGGCTGCCCACTGCTCCGGGTGTGTGTTCACGGTGTGTATGTGTGTTCGTTCGATGGGTTAAATGCAGAGCACAAATTCAGAGTATGGTACACCACACTTAGCCACTTGGGGTTTTCTTAACTTAAGGCAGTTTTTTGTAGCTGACTGCAGGTGTTTTAGAAAATGACTGGAACTGAAATCAGAAAGTTAGTGGCTTTCCAGGAGCAGGAATGCGGAACACTGCTTTAAGACATACTATACCATAACAGCTTGGCGAATTTCATTATGAGGCCTGTCAAAACTCCTCCATTTTAAACCAAGCGATTTTTATTAATCTTCTTAGATGCCTTTCACTGCAATATTAAAGCATAAGATGCTGTAAAAAAAATTAATTTGTAAAAGGATATATTGTATATTTAACATCAGTGAAGCAGTACAGTATCGATTAAACTTAACGGTAACACTTTCTATGAAGCCCGTCCCATATCTTGCCATTGTTAACTTGTTACTTTACTTAAAGCAGACAAATACCACTTATAAATGACAACAACAACAACGACAACAACAATAATAATGAAAAAAAAAAAAAATTTCTTAAACAGTCATAAGATCAGATATCTGATTGGATGAATGTCACATTGTCACATAAAATGTCACATAAAATGGCACATTTGCTTTTAACTATATTTATTGTAATATCAATAAGATAGTAAGATACTGTACAGATCTTAAATTATCTAAACTATCACCAGCAAAGTGACGATACGATACGTATCACGATACAGAGGCCACAATATGTATCACGATACGGGACTGCACTGAATTTCACCTCAGAAGAATTTAATAAAACAGCCGTTTATTAAACACTGCATACCATAGGGCCGTTGCTAATAATTGGCAGAACAGGCACTTGACCTCTGCATTATGAAGGGCCTCTATAACTGTACCACCGTACAATAGCCTATAGGTAATTTTTTCTTTTTTTGGTTTTATTTGCAGTAAAACCATGGTTATTTTTCGTAAGGGTAACTTTACTACAGTTTGCCAACATAAAAGCTCGATAGTTGCAATATAGCTAACTAACTTTTTAAACGTGCACACAAGACTCTCGAAATGCATGTTCTCTTCTGTATATAACTTAATTAGTGTAACATTTAAATAAAACTGTTAAAATATAAT